ATCCCCAAATTCCCACACCCCCAAATTCTCACATCCCCAAATTCTCACACCCCCAATTTCTCACACCCCCAAATTCTCACACCCCTAAATTCTCACATCCCCAAATTCCCACACCCCCAAATTCTCACATCCCCAAATCCTCACATCCCCAAATTCCCACATCCCAAAATTCTTACACCCCCAATTTCTCACATCCCCAAATTCTCACATCCCCAAATTCCCACATCCCTAAATTCTCACATCCCAAAATTCTTACACCCCCAATTTCTCACATCCCTAAATTCTCACATCCCCAATTTCTCACACCCCCAAATTCTCACATCCCCAAATCCTCACATCCCCAAATTCCCACATCCCAAAATTCTTACACCCCCAATTTCTCACATCCCTAAATTCTCACATCCCCAAATTCCCACACCCCCAAATCCTCACATCCCAAAATTCTTACACCCCCAATTTCTCACATCCCAAAATTCCCCCAATTTCTCACATCCCTAAATTCTCACATCCCCAAATTCCCACATCCCTAAATTCTCACATCCCAAAATTCTTACACCCCCAATTTCTCACATCCCTAAATTCTCACATCCCCAAATTCCCACATCCCTAAATTCTCACATCCCAAAATTCTTACACCCCCAATTTCTCACATCCCTAAATTCTCACATCCCCAAATTCCCACATCCCTAAATTCTCACATCCCAAAATTCTTACACCCCCAATTTCTCACATCCCTAAATTCTCACATCCCCAAATTCCCACATCCCTAAATTCTCACATCCCAAAATTCTTACACCCCCAAATTCTCACATCCCCAAATTCTCACATCCCCAAATTCTCACACCCCCAAATCCTTACATCTCCAACTTCTCACACCCTCAAATTCCAACCCCTCCAAATTACTAAACAACAATTTCGCAACAAAACCTCCACACAAATTTAATACTCCCTTAAGTTTCGTCCATTTTTCACTGGCCAACTCAGAAGAAGCTAATTGTATTTTTTATTCAAATCAGAAGAAAAACTACGTTGTCGTGTGACACGTAAAAATAACGGCGACTCTAGTGCCTCTAATTGATCCAATTTTGAATTCTAAAGTGTTTTTTTCAGTCATGAATATGAATGACGTTTGTACCATATTCAACCCTTAATGGTAGTCCTCATCAGTGCTACATGTTTTAACACTTCATCTACATACTTTCTCCGAATAAAAACGGCATTCATATTTATGGAAGGAAAATGGGGTACAAAGAAATTAACGAGGTCTTGTTTTTAGACAATACTGACGATCGAAAGAATTATGATACTCGAATTGTAAAAAGCGGTAGAAAAACAATATCATTATAAGCTTGAATAAATGGAGAATAAATTGAATAAATAAGCTTGAATACAGCAAACATTATATTTCTTCTAGCACTTGCATGAATAAAACATATAATATAAAATGGAGAATAAATGTAACAAAATACGTGAAATTAAAAATAAATATAAATTTATGCAAAATGTGCAAAAACATAAAATAGTCAAAGATGTTCTAAATTCCATGAAATTGCAAATGTATATAAAACGGGCTGAAATATTTAAAAAATGAAATTGCAAAATGCAAACTAAAAATCTTCTGAGACAATATATATAAATTATGCTGAGTTTTGGAGGTTTATACATAAAGAATTACCTGGTAATTTTTTAAACAATTTAAATTCATGCGAAGTATGAAGCTCGTGAAACAAAGAAACATCGGTCATAAATAATGCATTATTAGGGAGGTAAACACAAAGAGCAGAAGTACTATTACGTTTCAGAATCGGACGGGTATAAGTTTTTCCATCTTTCGTGTCCGTCTGATTTATAGCCACCCTTGTGTACCTGCGTATACAACTGTCAAGGCCCCTGTCCTTTTGTGTACAGTCAACGACAAATCTACCGTTCTAGGGAAAATACGACAGGCAAAGAGAGGGGAAATATTAATTCAGTGATTTTTGAAGAGATTTGGGAATAATAGAGATTTGGGGATATTGGAATATTTGGAACATAGGGGTTTTGATATATAAGGATTTTGGGACGTAGGAATTTGGGGATATAGGGATATTTGAGACATAGAAATTTTGGGGCATAGGAATTTCTACACGTAGGAATTTTGGAACTTGAAAATTTGGGGGTATAGGGATTTTGGGACGTAGAGGTTTGGGGATATAGGGACTTTGGAGTGTAGGGATTTTGGGGTGTAGGTATTTGGGGATATAGGGATTTGTGATTGCGAAAATTTGGAGATGTAGAGATTCAAGAATATTGGAATTTGTGAATGTAGGAATTTGGGGATTTTGGAACTAGGAAATCTAGGAATTTGGGAATTTTGGAACTAGGAAATCTAGGAATTTGAGGATATTGGAACTAGGAAATCTAGGAATTTGGGAATTTTGGAACTAGGAAATCTAGGAATTTGAGGATCCTGGAATTTGAGGATCTAGGAATTTGGGAATTTTGGAACTAGTAAATTTAGGAATTTGAGGATTTTGGAACTAAGAAATCTAGGAATTTGGGAATTTTGGAACTAGGAAATCTAGAAATTTGTGGATCCAGGAATTTGGGGATTTTGGAACTAGGAAATCTAGGAATTTGATAGTCTAATCTAAGAATCTAAAAATCCAGGAATTTGCAAATCCACAAATTTAGATATCTAAAAATTCTGAACTACAGAAATTTAAAGACCTAGGAGTTTAGTGGTCCCTAAAATCAAGAATCTAGGGATATCCACATAAACCCTCAAATATAAACCTCCCAAAATCAAGAAACTCCCTAAATTCTTCCACTTTAAAAATAAGAAAAAAAAACCACGAAAGTGTGGAAATATACTACATCAAATATTTAAAAAATTGACTATTTAGGGATTTTTGAAGGCTTCGCATTTATCGAAATAAACTTGTTACATCCGAGTGTACCTCACCGTTCTGTTGACTGATAGCCAGCTCTAAATGAACGAGGGTAAAGGACATCCCTTAAGCCTGGCTCGTCCCTGGAATTCTCGATTCGACTTTCGCCATATTTCTTCGTTTCCTTGGTTGCCCTCGCAGTAGGAAGAGGAAAATGGACGCTCTATCTTCGTGTTTATGGGTGTGAGGCGCAATAATTAAAAGGAGATAAGTGAACGACTAAATGGCCGTTGTAATTTCTGTTGAATTAGGAATGCTGAGAATTATTGCTAGAGGGTGGTTTTAGGGGGTTGAATTAACTTGTTGCTCGATAAAATTGAGGGAATTTTATGAGGTTGGTTGAATGGATTCAAGGTTTATAGAATTCAAGGTTTATAGGATTCAAGGTTTATAGAATTCAAGGTTTATAGGATTCAAGGTTTATAGAATTCAAGGTTTATAACTTGATTTTTGTGCGAGGATTAAATGTTTACTTTTGGAGATGGTTTGGGACAAGGATTTTGTCTGATTATTGGATGATTGAGAAATTTAAACAGTTTGAAGACGATTTTTGGATGTGTAGTTTTATTTGTTAATTTTAAGTGAATTATTGAGATAGGTGGTTTATTGAAATTTCAAATAAAACATAACTGAAGCAAACAAATTGATTGTTCAACCCTTCGACTAATTCCAGATATCAAATTAGACAATTACAAATATCATATATGTTACACTATTTGACCATATGTACATATGTGTCCATATATCAGCTATCAGTTAATGTAACACAATTCAAAAAGATTTTTAAACCTGATATTTTGATACAGTGGCCATAATTGTTGGAACAATATAACTAGTCTCCTTAACAAATTAACAATAACAAATATACTACTAGACTACTCTATCCACATGTCTTCATATATCCACATATGTCCACATATGTTTACATATGACTATTCTATCCACATCTACATATAACCTCATATATCCACATATGTCCACATATGTCTACATATGACTACTCTATCCACATCCACATATAACCCCACATATCCACATATATCCACATACATATGTCTACATATGACTGCTCTATCCACATCCACATAGAACCTCATATATCCACATATGTCCACATATGTTTACATATGACTACTCTGTCCACATCCGTATATAATCCCATATATCCACTAACCCCACATATCCACATATATCCACATACATATGTCTACATATGACTGCTCTATCCACATCCACATAGAACCTCATATATCCACATATGTCCACATATGTTTACATATGACTACTCTATCCACATCCACATAGAACCCCATATATCCACATATGTCCACATACATATGTCTACATATGACTGCTCTATCCACATCCACATAGAACCTCATATATCCACATATGTCCACATATGTTTACATATGACTACTCTATCCACATCCACATATAATCCCATATATCCACATATGTCCACATATGTTTACATATGACTACTCTATCCACATCCACATATAATCCCATATATCCACATATGTATACATATGTCTACATATGACTGCTCTATCCACATCCACATAGAACCCCATATATCCACATATGTTCACATATGTTTGCATATGACTACTCTGTCCACATCCATATATAATCCCATATATCCATATATGTCCACATATGTCTACATCTGACTACTCTATCCACATCCACATGTAACCCCATATATCCACATATGTCCACATATGTTTACATATGACTACTCTATCCACATCCACATATAATCCCATATATCCACATATGTCCACATACCATCACATTACCTACTCCAACTCAACAAAATCTTTCAAACTTGATATGTATCATCTCCTGCTAAATATACAAATTCGTCTTTATCTATATATAGTCATATATGTCCACATACTATCCATTAGCCTACTCCAAATTAAAAAATCTCCTAAACCTAACAAACATCTCCTCCTAAATATAAAAATTCATCCCAGCTAACAAACGTCAATACGAAAGAAGAAAAACTAATAACGAGGACAATATAACGAGTCTCCTTAACGATGGTAATTTTTGTTGCAGAAACGGAGGTGAGATCGCCACGTTTCACGGGCTCCGGTTGGCTGGCATTTCCAGCCCTAAAAGCTGCTTACAAGCACGTCCAATTAGAATTGGAATTCCGACCGGAAGCTTGGGATGGAATTCTGCTGCTCGCAGGCGAGAGGGATGATCTTCAGGGTGACTTTATGGCCTTGATACTGCATCACGGTTTCATCGAATTTAGGTAACGACGTTGCTCCTTAATTGTATTCTCCCCCGTTAAAGGCGCAGATTTCGACGGCAAAAAGCCGATTCTATTTTTTTCTCTTATTCGGTAAACGACGTTTGGGAACGGATAAGCAGATTGCAGGGTAATTTGGTGATTGAATTTGTTCCTTCGAGGAATTGTGAGGGGTCTTTATTAAAGCTGAAATACAGGAAGGTTCAAATCTTGATTGCAAGACTGCATAATGGATGATTGGGGACTTTAATTCAATCAATTTTCGTACAAATTAAGAAAAAATTGATATAAATTATGTAGGAAATTTTGGAAACACCCTGTATAATCGTAACTCGAAAATAAAATAAAAAAACTTCAAGTTTAAACGTGAAAATAAAATAAAAGAAGAAAATTTCAAGTTAATAAAAATTTAAAAATACCTTACACGTGCAAATGCATAAATAAATATTTAAAAGAAATAATAATGAAAATTGAATTTTCGTCGATAAACGTTTTCCGGACGGGATCGATCAAAACGACATAACGAGTCGACTGTTTGTCGCAAAGTTTGTTCCGTCACCAGCATGCATCACCGTATTATGCCAACTTTCCCCAACTTCCGTCGATATATAACCGAAGTTTCCGTCGAACCTCATTGCCCTATTAGCAATAGGACATCAAAGGATTCGCGCGAAACCACGATTTACTTCAATTTACCGTGGGACGCATTGCTCTGTCGACGGTCCACCACTGGCATGTGATCGATAAACTTTGATGAAACTCGTGGAAGACGAATATCTCTCTCGTTGCTCATCTACGATACGGGTGACGATTAACACCTGTCGGTTTAATTTCGTTAAAGTGTGTTAAAAAACTTGACAATTTAAACATTTAAAAATCTGACAATGTAAAACAAAACTGAAAAAAGATTAGAAAATTTTATAATTAAAAAATTGAAGAAATTAAAAAACTTGAAAATTAACAATTTTAAAATTGAACAATTTTTTTTCAATTTGAGAACTTGAGAACTTGAAGATGTGGGAATTTAAGTCTCATAAAAAATTTGAAACTCTAGAAATAAAAAAATTTGTAAGCTTGGAACTTAACAAATTTTAAAGTAAAAAAATTTGAAAACTTGAAAATTAAAAAATTTTTAAATTAAATTTGATATAATAATTTTAAAATAAAAGTATTTGAAAACCTAGAAAAGTAAGAAATAGAAAATGACAATATTTAAAAATGGAAAAATATAATAATTTAGAAACTAGAAAACCTTGAAAACAAAAAAAAAGTGAAAATTTAAGAATTAAAAATTGATAAACCTAGAACTATAAAATTTTGACAATTATCTTGAAGCATAACACACGAATACCCTACGTGACTTCTCCTGATTCGCGTGGGTCGCAGTCGAAAATGTCAAGTACACTTTTTTTTTCCGGCGATGAAGAAGGTCAGGGTCACGAAGTTCGTCCCCGGGGTAGTCCTTAATTATCATGCTAGCTCTGTTATTCGCGTTAATACTGCGTCTTGGGTCGAGGTAAACGGCTTTCGAACGAACGAAGCGTAGGAACTCGACCTTACCTCTCCTTATCCTCGCGAGAGACTCCAACAGGCATTAGTCTCTCAACGGATATCCGGCGACAATGGCTGCGAATTGAATTTCTGTCTCTCGTCTTACCACTCCGAGTATCCTTCGTTCTGCTAATCCCGCGATCAAGTCGAATGCAAAACGCGCAGTCAAATTCGCGAGATAGACGGTTTAAACTCTACTTTAGTCGGCCATGTTTCTCATATATAACCTTCGAGTACGTGTCTACGAAGATAAATTTCGAACAGGACGTTTAACTGCGTTAACTTAATTATTGGTTGGATTTATCGAATTCTGAAAATGGGTGCATCTTGTGGACGTTAGATAATGATCATTTTACATGAATATTTCGTAGGTACGTTTGTGATGCACAGTTGAGAAATGGATAGGTAGAAAGAAATTGTAGATTGAGGTTAGACAAGTGGATGTCGTTTGTGGGAAGACAAGTAGATACTGTTCTTATACATGATCAAACATGCAGATATGATGTATATGGTCAGACAAGTACATATGGTGCAGGTGGTAAGACAAGTAGATATGATGTAACTGGTAGGACAAGTAGATGCAATGTAGGTAGTCAGACAAGTAGATGCAATGTAACTGGTCAGACAAGTAGATATGATGTAGCTGGTAAGACAAGTAGATATGGTGTAGCTGGTAGGACAAGTAGATGCAATGTAGGTAGTCAGACAAGTAGATGCAATGTAACTGGTCAGACAAGTAGATATGATGTAGCTGGTAAGGCAAGTAGATATGGTGTAGCTGGTAAGACAAGTAGATATGATGTAGGTGATCAGACAAGTAGATGCAATGTAGCTGGTCAGACAAGTAGATACAATGTAAATGGTCAGACAAGTAGATATGATGTAGCTGGTAAGACAAGTAGATATGATGTGTATGGTCAGACAAGTAGATACAATGTAGGTGGTAAGACAAGTAGATATGGTGTAGCTGGTAAGACAAGTAGATATGGTATAGGTGGTAAGACAAGTAGATATAGTGTAGGTAGTCAGACAAGTAGATAAGGTTACTGTATGCAGTCAGACAAGTAGATAAGGTTGTCGTATGTGATCAGGCAAGTAGATAAGGTTGTCGTATGTGATCAGACAAGTAGATAAGGTTGTCGTATGTAGTCAGACAAGTAGATAAGGCTGCTATATGTAGTCAGACAAGTAAATAAGGCTGCTGTATGTAGTCAGACAAGTAGATAAGGTTGCTATACGTAGTCAGACAAGTACATAAGGTTGCTGTATGCAATCAGACGAGTAGATGAGCTTATCGTATGTGGTCAGACAAGTAGATAAGCTTGTCGTATGTAGTCAGACAAGTAAATAATGCTGCTGTATGTAGTCAGACAAGTAGATAAGGTTGCTATACGTAGTCAGACAAGTACATAAGGTTGCTGTATGCAATCAGACGAGTAGACAAGCTTGTCATATGTGGTCAGACAAGTAGATAACCTTGTCGTATGTAGTCAGACAAGTAGATAAGTTTATCACATCTGACAAGACCAGTAAATAACTTCAGTAAATAAAACATAATAAGCTACTTATTAAAATGACAAATTAAAACAGTATACAATCAAACAAGTAGAATAACTCAATAACTAAAATATAACTCACCATTAATCAGTAAGGTAAACTGAAACAATACATTATCAGCTAAATCACATAACAACCAAATAAAATATGAATTCCTAATCAGACAAGCAAAGCCAACTACTCAACTAATTAAAGTATAATGGACTTAAAGACAGGCAAATTGCACCCATGCGTGATCCCTAATTACAGCGAAGCAATGAACCGTCGGACAAGTAGAATAAGCGTGTACATAATCGGACCACCCTCCCACGTTGAAACACGCTGAATAGTTATGTTCCTTGAACGTAAATAGTTCGCTGTCGAATAAGTAGTGTATCTTGTAAACTACGGTGTCGGAACGTGATGCGAAGAATTTAACGGCGAGAGACGGTTTCTTCGACCGAAACAACGAGTTGGCCGAAAGCGCATCTTTAAAGTTGCGAGTGGCACTCGCCGGTGTACTATTAATTACGTGCTTCGACAGTGCGGAATTCACGGTGCACACGGCATAACTTGTTAAAATTTCTCGTTACCCGTGTCGTTAATCCGTCCGGCGGTAATAATTACTGCGACTTAGGATCTGCCACTTAGCACCGGCGACTTCCGTAATTCGCGCCGCGAAAACTAACTGCTACCGAACGGAAGTACACTTCAAGTAACGAAGCAATGTTTGCGTAATCAGTGGCTTATGCAGGTTGCTGTTTTATTTCTTCGCGAAATTACCTCGTATATTATAAAATCTCCAAAGTGGCTATTGAGGAGATTTTCTAAGATATTGCGGAAATTTTCTATATCCCCAAATTTTTGGATTTGTAAGACATTCTAAATTGTAAGATGTTTTTTAAAATTATTTGTCTTGAGAAAGGTGTTTGAGTTCTCTAAAAATAACTGGAACTCTTTCTTTTTTTAAAGGTTCGATTGTGGCAGCGGAGTCGGTACCGTCAGAAGCACACAAACAGTCAGACTGAACGAATGGAACACACTGACTGTATACAGACATCGATGGGACGCCTGGATTCAGCTGAATCAAGAGAAACGCGTAGAGGGAAGATCGAAGGTAAGAATACTTCTTCCCTTCATCGTTCTAGACGGTATCGTCGGTGAAACGTATTACTGTGTTCGTGGATGAAAGGGATGGATTGATTATCGATAAAGTTGGAAACAGATTTCTTAGCGTTCTAGGCAAATATTTGATTGTACACTCTGCCGAATTGAAATCGACAGTTTTCCGATTTTCCAGTTTTCTAATCTTTTAGTTTTCCGCTTTCCAATCTTTTAGTTTCATTCCCTTTTCTCGTTCCTGAATTTTTAATCTTTACCAGGATTTTAATTTTCCAAATTTCCAATTTATCGATGGTGTGATGTTTCAATTTTTCAATTTTTCAATTTTTCAATTTTTCAATTTTTCAATTTTTCCATTTTTCAATTTTTCAATTTTCCAATTTTCCAATATTCCAATTTCCTCATTTCCCAATTTTCTAATTCCCCAATTCCCCAATTCCCAAATTTTCCAATTTTCCAATTTTCCAAAATTTCAATTTTTCAATTTTTTAATTTTCCAATATTCCAATTCCTTAATTTCCCAATTCCCTGATTTCCCCATTCCCTCATTTCCCAATTTTCTAATTCCCCAGTTCCCAAATTTTCCAATTTTCCAGTTTCCCAATTTCCCAACTTCCCAATTTCCCAATTTTTCAATTCTTCAGATCTTTAATTCTACTGTTCTTCAATTCTTTGAATCTTGGATTTCCAGATTCTTGGACTCTCTGATTTTTTACTTATTCAATCGTTCAATTGTTTGATTCCACAATTCTTCAATTCTTTCAATTCTTTCAATTCTTTCAATTCTTTCAATTCTTTCAGTTCTTTTAATTCATTCAATTCTTTCAATTCTTCAATTCTTCAAGTCAATTCTTGTAAGTCAATTGCAATTTTGCAATTCTTCAATTCTTCAATTCCTCCATTCTTCAATTCAAAACCCTCCAATAAATTTTTACAAAGTAGAAACATTCTGAACCTCCTCAAAATATTCCAATTTAAATATACATCTACACGTTCATTTTCACCGGAACAATTTTATACACCGCGATAAATTTAATGATACTTAATCATTCATAGGCGTACAGGACAAATTAACACGGGCCGTTAATTTCGCTGGAACAATTACAGCAGCTCGTAAAATAGAAGCTGTTCGTCACATTGTACACCCAATCTCGGAAATTGTCGTATCGATTATCGATCGATCGATCAGCGAAGAAACATCGCTTTTCTATTCCCGTCAATTGCAACGTACCTCTTCTATTTTCTTTTTTTTTTTTTCTATTTCATCGAGGGTGAAAATGATTTTCATCGCAACGAAACCGGAGCGGAAGGAAAGTATGTCGCCGTTGAACGAGCCGGTAATTAACATGCTGAAATTCGTGTGCGATAATCGTGTTGCTCGTTAAACGGACGATTTCCTTGGAAAATAACGAGCCGACCGGGGAAAACGCGTATCGTGAAACCCGGATTGCATCGCGGGTGAATAACGATGACGTGCAACGAGGCAAGTGTACACGGAAAGTTGGTGAAAAGATTTGCTCGTCTCTAGCAAAGATGTCAGACGAGCCGGAATTTTAAAGGGGAACGTCCCGTTTAACTGCCGGTAAATTATACGGGTGTCTCCCGAAACGTGCGACTCGTGAAAATTCCGAAATTTCTTGGACAATCGGCCAAATCGGTGACCTACATTTTCAACGCGTTTCTGTCGAATTGTCCTCTTAAATTTTAATGAAATTATCCTCTTAAATCTTAATCGAATATTTATGACGTATCAAAGTCGACGTTGTACATCTTACAGATTACATTATTTACGTTTTTCGGATACAGGTATATAATTTATGGAATCAAATTTAAAAATTCTTGGGAAATATATTTTTATGCACATTATGAAACTGTCAGCCGAGTGAAATTTGATTAAAAATTTAGATCTAAATTTTCGCAAAATTCACCGGACATATTTTTGAAGATTTTCCACGTCGATTACGTAGAGAAACTTTAAGGAACGCCCTGTGTTAATATTTCATCGCGAAACGCGATATTAGATCGCGTCGATTTAATTAACCAAGATATCTCATTTCCGTAAGCGTTATAGAAATTTTAATAAAATCGCGCACGCAACGAACGTCAGACCAGCCGGTCGACCCAGTTTCATTATGTCAGCGTCCATAAATTAGGGTAAAATTAGCAGTTCGCACGACGGTGTTCTAGGAGGTCGATAAACAAACCGATATATGAAATATCCTCGATACTGCTAAATTACGAAAGTAACGCGATATTTTACTGATTATATAGAGAGTTTGCTGTTTTTCGTGGATATGGCAATATAATTGGACAACCTAACTATTGCAATATAACGTGCGGCGATGTAACGCGTGATAATAAAACGTGCGAAAGTATAACATATGAATAATATGACGAGTAATAGTGAAACGCGTGACGATACTACAAATGGCTATGTAACACGTGGCGATATAACAAGTGGCTATATAACGCGTGGCAATATAACTAGTGGGAATTAACGCGTAGTGATTCGGCGCGTTATAATTTGACGCGTGGCGATATACCACAATGCTTTTTTGACGCACGGCAATATAACGCGAAGCAATATAATGTGTGCGAATATAATGCGTAGTAATATAATGTGTGAAAGTATAACATATGAATAATATGGCGCGTAATAGTCAAACGCGTGGCGATACTATAAATGGCTATATAACGCGTGGCGATATAACAAGTGGCTATATAACGCGTGGCAATATAACAACTGGGAATTAACGCGTAGTGATTCGGCGCGTTGTAACTTGATGGGTGGCGATACACCACGTGACTTTTTTGACGCACGGCAATATAACGCGAGGCAATATAATGCGTGGTAATATAATACGTGCGAATATAATGCGTAGTAATATAACGTGTGAAAGTATCACATATGAATAATATGACGCGTAACAGTGAAACGCGTGACGATATTACAAATGGCTATATAACGCGTGGCTATACAACGCGTGGCAATATAACAAATGGGACTATAACGCGTAGTAATTCAGCGCGTTGTAATTTGACGCGTGACCATACACCACGTGACTTTTTTGACGCACGGCAATATAACGCGAAGCAATATAATGCGTGGTAATATAATACGTGCGAATATAATGCGTAGTAATATAACGTGTGAAAGTATCACATATGAATAATATGACGCGTAACAGTGAAACGCGTGACGATACTACAAATGGCTATATAACGCGTGGTAATATAACAACTGGCTATATATCGCATGGCAATATAACGAATGGGAATATAACGCGTGGTGATTCAGCGCGTTGTAACTTGACGCGTGGCGACATACCACGTTGCTTTTTTGACGCACGGCAATATAACGCGAAGCAATATAATGCGTGGTAATATAATACGTGCGAATAAAATGGTAATATAATACGTCAAGTGTCACTCACAGCCATATTTTCTTCATCCTTCAATAAACTAATAAGATTTCCATAGTCGAAAAGAACACGCGTTTTTGTTTTTGCTCTGAACGAGTCGACAGGAACAATATTCCACAATTGTTTCGCAGAATTTGGCCGCGAACGAACTCGGCTGTTTTAAAAGGAGCACTCGAAAGTACTTGTCCGCGAAGAAAGTAGTGGCTCTTTCTGCTTCTGCTGCTAAGACGCCGTACTAACTTATTACGAAACAATTTGCAAGTCTTATAAGAGGGTCTGAGAGGGAAAGTTCGAGCAGCAAGAAAGAAGGAAAGCGTGTAACGCGCGCGTGTGCGCGCGTCCGTGTAACAGAAAAAAGCGAGCAAGAGAGAGCAGGCAGCTTTTAAAGACTTTTAATTCGAGAGCGAAATAGCAGGCAGTTTCACGCTGTAATTTAAAGAAAACGTTAGTCGCGATATAATAACAAACGTTGAATCGCGAGTTGAAAATGGCGGATAAAAATTGTAGGAGAAAAAGAGGAGTTTACGAGCCGTGTTCGGGAGGAGCGAACGAGCCAGCTGCACGCGTCAGAATGACGATAAATATTAAATGAAAGGAATAAGTTACATTTTCACGTGTACCGTCGTTTTTCGAGTGCCCAACGTTTCCCTCGCGACAGAATTTTAAGCTCTTCGTCACGAACAGACATTTTTTTTCTCTCCACGCTCTCGTCACTGCGCCACGTGATTCCTACAGATTCGAGTTTCAATTAAAACTGTTCCCGTCGAATGTGATTTTAGTTGATTTCGTGCTACGTTGGTTTTAATAAAACAGCACTAACAAAATCGGGACAACTCATGGCCGGGAACATTAGGGAACATTTCTCATTATAATGAAAAAACTCTTCATACGATTGGACTCAATATGGCAACATAAAAGCTTTTGTTGGAATATAATAAAAAGAAGTCTACGTTACAAGCCTACCAAAAAATTAAATGTTTCGTCACCGTTCCAGAACTTTATGCCATACATCTAATGCTTAAAATTGCATTCACGGTATCCAACATCAAAGGCAATTGCTGTTAGTCGATTACATTTCTCTTGGTTATTTCTGATCACGATAGCCCGACGAAATTACCATTTCGACGTGCCTCGGAATCGTTCTAGATAGCATCGCGTTTCATGGCACAGAATACGTTCGCGTGAAAACCGAATGCATTTTCATTCCCTAACGTTTACGAGCCACGGTCAGACATATAAAGACAGATGGCCAGACGATGAATAGATGGTACCACACCCATGAAAAAGGCCAGGCAGACACATCATCGTCGCCGTGTAATCAGTAAAATGTTGCGTTACTTCTGAAAGTTAGCAGGATCGTGAAAACTTCGCGATATATCGGCATGTTTATCGATCTCCATGAATACCTTTGCGCAATGTGCTAATTTTGCCCTAATTTATACACGTTGATGTAATGAAACACGGGGAACACGTAATATTTCTTTCTTAGCTTATACGATATTGTCTCGCGTTATATTGCCGCGCGTTATAACGGCGATATAACGCGTGGATATATATTTCACATAGAAAATAC